CAATTCGACTGTATTTTTTTTATGTTTGTTACCTCAGAACTTCGTCATTTATTAACCGATTTGGACAATTTTTGTTTTGTTTGAAAGGGTATACTTCCAGATTGGTACCATTTAAATTTCAAAAAAAAAATACCACCCCTAAGGGTGGAAAAATAACTAATGATGAATTTAACCTACTTCTAATTGTCATATTGACTTGAAACTTTGCTAGTGTTTCTATTTCCGTTGATAGTACAGTGGTTCGGTATTGTTGACCTGATCTGATGGTAAGGCCAGACGGTGAATAGGTGGAACTCTTCAACGACTAATAGTAGATACTTTGAGCTTGGGCTTATTTTGTTTGATTTGACAAGCCTAACACTTTAGAATTCTTATTTTGCTACTACTGTCTAGACTAAAAGGGGAAAAATAAAAACTTTTTAACAAAAAAATAAAAACCGACTTCAAACAAAAGCACTAAAAAGTAACTAACTGATTGGCAGTTTTCATTTACTATACATACCTAATAAAATATTTTCGAAGTCGGTGTGCTTTGTCTAAGTAATTAAAGCCTACCTATTAAATACATACCTAATCAAATATTTTCGAAATCGGTGCCAGCCCATACAAAGCAAAGCACACAGACTTCGAAAATATTTGATTAGGTATGTATAGTAAATGAAAACTGCCAATCAGTAATTTTTTACGTTTTAGTGCTTTTGTTTGAAGTCGGTTTTTATTTTTTTGTTAAAAAGTTTTTATTTTAGCGGAACTCTAATTCTTTTTCTAAAATAGAAGTTGCCTAAGTTACTCCTTATAAGATCAGCTATCTGCTTGTAAAAGTTCCGTTAAAATCGGTCCAGCCGTTTCGGAGATAGTCCGCAACAACAACACAACAGACGGACAAAAATTTTAATTTTTTTTTCTTATTAATACCGTACCTTTAGGTATACTTCCTGCATTTAGTAAAAAGTATTTATTTTACATTACAAACAGACACTTCAATTTTATTTATCTGTATAGATTTATATGTAAGAGATTATGATTTGAAACCCTTTTAACTTTTTTAATAATGATCAAAAGATATAGAAAGTTTTTTTGTTTATTGCGAGTTTTGGGTACTTTATTGCTTGATGAGTTCTAAAAGATTTTATTTACTTGTGGCTCTTTGTGAAATTATTAGTGAGTTTTGCCTAATATTATGGATGATTTATAATATGTATTCAGCCCTTTTTCTAACATCTCACTGCTGGGCACGGGCCTCCCTTCAGTACGAGAGGGATCAGGCCATAGTCCACCACGCTGACCAAGTGTAGGCTGGCGGACTTCACATGTCTTTCGAAAACTTGCTAGGTACTCTCAGACATGCAGGTTTCCTCGCAATGTTTTTTTTCACCGTATATATAGAATATGAATACTATTTTAATAAGGAAGCGAATGGATCATATATGTTACAAAAAATATTTTATGTTTGTTTTTATTGTTCAAGATATTCGATAATTTTAAATCGATTTTTATGATTCGTTTTTAATAAATAGGTACTTTGTTTTATGTAGGTCTTAAAAATTTTATTTGAATGTCGTTGTACTTACCGTGTTAAAGATAATTTAAGATTGATTGTTTATCATAATATGAAAGATATAAATAGCAATTCATTAAATAAATTTGTAATTATATCTATATCATTATGACATTATAAAGAGGCAGATTTTGTTTGTTTTTTAGTTTGTATGTACGCGCTAATCTCAGGAACTACAAATCTGATTTCAAAAATTCTTTTTACAATAGATAGCCCGTTCATTGAGAAAGGTTATATATCATCATGCTACTACTCAAGGGAGTGGAGCAGTAGTAATCATAAATGTCAACAAACCGGGCAGACTTCCATATACATACATACATACAAAGGGATGAATCTGAGCTAGTTTTGTATATTTAGAAATGAAATGTTTAACAATAGTTTCTAAATATTAAGAAACAATGTTAAATATTTTCACTCAAAACACCACTTGCGTATTTTAAATACTTTTTAAGTTGAGTTTATTCTGACGATTTTTCAAATCAATAAAGGGCGTTGTAAAAGAGTTCCACAGTTAAAATTTTACGGTTTCGCGAGTGTTTAGCTCGTAGCTCTGTTTAATGTGAAATCTATAAAATTCGATTAATTTCCATTTTATTATCGAAACTCGCCAGATACAATTTATTTCGGACGAATTTAGTTGTATTATGTTACAGCTGTTTTATGTTTTTTAAGTTACGCTATTTTAGATGAGTCGTGATGAGTCTGACTTATGCAGGAACTTACAGATTCATTCCCTGCACAATCTTTTATGGTTATTTTGAGACATTTGTTTCTTTGTGGTTTGGAAAAGAATAAAACTTCGTGTTCTTAGGTAGGTTTTTTTGAAATCTATTTAAAAAATAAATAATAAATAAATAAATATATTGTGACATTAACACACAGCACCATCTAGTTTCATGGTAAGCTACGAGGCTTGTGTAATGGATACCAGATAGTTGATACACTACACATATATAACTTTAAATACATACATATTATAAATACATACATAATATTATAAATACTAATACCGGAAAATGAACTAATAAATAAAAAAGTAGGTTTGTATGTATGTGGGCCACCCTTATCACTTAGGGGTATGAAAAATAGTTTACGTCTTATTCTTAGACCTACTAAATATACACATAAGATTTCATAAGAATCGGTCAAGCCGTTTCGGAGGAGTTTTGTTACAAATACTGTGACACGAGAATTTTATATATTAGCGATAGAAGATAAACACCCATGACTGGCGTACAAACATTCGTGCTCATCACACAAACGACGACAGCACTGGAGACGCTTTCTAAAACGAATGTACCTAGCGATACTCGAACCCGCGACCGCTGGCACAGCAAGTAGGCTCACTACAAATTGAGCCAAACGTCTAATCTATTTAAAATGACAAGATATATTATCTGTTCTTTATTTTATGGTTACTAGGCGTGCAATTTGAGGACATTTTGCTTCACTAATGTGGCATATAATGGAGGCACGATTGAGATTGAATGAGATATTAATAAGACTTAAATTACAAAACATAAATGTTTAAAAAAGCAAATGGCAAAAATAAATATCCCTTTCACTTTTACGTACCCTTTGTTTCGCAGCGAAATATACTTCTAAGGTTAAAAAATATTATGTTACTCTAGCAAAAAAGAAAATAACAGTCCATATTTTTTTAATTATAAATTCTCTCTTATTGTATATTAAGAATAAAAAATGTTAGGTTATAATAAGGCAGTGGTAGCCCAATGGTAGAACTAAGAGAAGCGAGTTCAAATCCCGGGTCTCGCACTATTTTTTACCACCACTCGCCATCATTTTTCAACATGATTACCACGTGTCTTACGGTGAAGGAAAACATCGCGAGGAGACCTACATGTCCGAGAAAACCTAGGAAGTTTTCGAAATACATGTAAAGTCTGCCAACTTGACCAGCGTTGTCGGCTATGGCCTGATCTTCCTCTTTTTGAAGGGAAGCCCTTGCCCAGCTATAAGACATCAAAAATGGCCGAAAACATACATATGTATGTACATACAGGATAATAATACAACAAAGTAGTAATATTTTAATAATAATAATGTCCTCTTGACCGAATTTAACTACGACGGCCAATGTCAGGAAGATTAGCCATCTACACAGCGCACTATAACATACACTTAATACTCTTAATTCTCTAAAAACTCCCAAGATCCACTGGGACGATAATTAGGCACAGGACAGTCTTTACGTGAGGAAAACCTAATAACTATTGGGCCGACCCGCGACTCGAACCGAAGACCTATGATGCTAACTAGACCACCGAGGCAATTTAATTTATTATATAAAAAGCAAATGTTCGAACCAAAAAATAATGAGTACTTAAATACGTAAAAAGCCAACGCTTTGTCACTCTCTTTATAATATAATGAAAAGAAATCTGTGATTTTTCGGCGAGAAATAATGGCAGCTCAATTGCGATCTATAAAATTCGGTATAGTTTATGTGAACGTTCGTCCCAACGGGGTTTTTAGCGGATCCACATTTACCGGTTCTTTACGATCGCAAATGGGCAAAAACTTAACGTTTCCAGCATAAATGGGACCCAGTTTTATCGTATCTTATGAAATATTTTCATAGATACTGTACAAGGATTATCTAGTTCGGATTTTTTGGTAGTAGGTTAAAATATAGATATTGCAAAAATCATCGATAATATTTTAATGCGAATGTTTAATAGTTTCTTAGATTTACGCGAATATTTGAAATTTTAAATAAACCTTAAAAAATGAAAAAAAAAACTTTTCGGATTTTCTCGCAATTGTTTTTTGATTTTTGGTTCCTGACGTTTCTAATGTTTCACAGCAATCATGGTCACGGGAGAGACGCGAATGTAAGTTGGTTTCTTTAAAGTAGCAATGGAGTTTTGTAGAAGCTTTTTCTGCTAATGTAAATTTAGAGGCCGGAGTAAAACAGACTAACTTTTATATGACTGCTTGTTTATTGTTCAGAATAATTATCATCCTTTTAACCCTAGCTAAGCAACATTCAAATAATAAAAAGCATGCACTTATAAGAATCTATTACAAAAACTCACGATATTTACCATTTACTTAAAGTGTAGAATTAAAACCATATTAAAAAAAATGCCTCCTTATACACCTAAACTAAGTATTCATCATTTTTGACTTTTTCTTTTGAAATTAAATAGTCAAATCTCAAAGATATCACACTATACTGCCTATCACGCCTAGTTCTCAATTCGATATCGGTCTGGTAAGGTATACTCGTATATACAAGAAACAATAAATGAATTTACACTATGAGTAAAAGTTAAGTTTCGGTCAAATCACACTCCAGCAAAGTTTCATATATAAAAATATTTTACCATACCGATATCAGACAAAGAACGGACTGTGATTGGGACTATAATATGGATCGGCCTTAAATTTTCCAGTGGAACAGTACATTACTTACCAGCCGGTACTATTTGGAAGACGCAGGGCTTCTTCTGCCTTCCCACAGCGTTGTTTGCGCGACATAGAAGTGCTCCGTAGTCACGTTCACTCGCCGCGCGATACCGCAGCTCACTTGCTGTACCACCAGTGGATACTATAACAAAATGTTTTATTAATAGACTAACTAGATGAGCTTATAGTTCATGTCCTCCGAGGTAGGTATCTGGATATAGATATGTTAATCTAGCTAAGTATCAATCCTCATTTTGTCGTGGTGGTGGGGTTCATTAGCGTCCGGCAATCCAGCCGGACGTGAAGCCAAGAGATGCACTGGGAGGTGAGTGCGTAAGCGCTCCTGCGACATCTCATTAAAACGGGGGAAGTTTTGTTGGGTATTACTCGGTAGTGCTTTACCAGCCGGTAAGCCATATTTTTGTTTATACAAAAAATACTCCTATCAAAATTCCCTGATCTAATCCTAATCCAGATTCTAGTTAACTAAATAAAATATTTATACATGAGTATAATATAACGTTATAATTATCTCTTAAAAAGGCTTACAGAAAAGTCCGCAGTATCAAGCATGAGTCTACCTCCTAAGGTACACACAATCACTATTTATTTTTAAAACGTACCTAGGACTAGGACACTAAGTCGCTAGTACATAATAATACTTAACAATTTTGTAAAACCTATCTATGTATATGAAAAAGTGACCTTTCTTCCAAATCAAATTCCACCAAAAACTACCAGTTTGAGGAGGCAGTAACATAAACAGATATGATGTGGTTAAAAATATAGACTAAATACCAGATAGATTTTGATATGAAATATATTAATATGAATGAGGTCCGTAGCTGAATAAATATTAATTTAACATAATTAAAAAAATATTTTATTATACATATAGTACAAAATTAAAATTTAGTGTTTTAAAGTTATTTGAATATTATATTTTATCTCAGATTTTACATCTAGATTTATTTCAAAGAATTATTCTTATTATATTATAACCTAGGTAGGGTTTTGGTTCGACCTAACTAAATCAATTCAGATAAAATATACTTTTATTAAATAAATTTATAACCCTGTTAAAATTTTACATTAATAAAGCCGAAAAAATGTACTTTATCTGTTTCCATATATTTCTTTATAAAATTCTAATATATAAATATCTCGTCTCACGGTGTTTGTGGTCGCACTCCTCCGACACGGCTCGACTGATTTTAATGAGTTTTTTTGTATATTTGGTAGGTATGAGAATAGGTCGTAAAGTATTTTTCACCCTCCTACCCCCAACCCCCATTTTTTTAGATAATTGATTCCAATTATCTTATAGTAATATTATTAATTTTAGATGCTCAACTTTTAGCGCTCGTTCTAAAGATACCTTTCATGTTTCTATGTGTACACTGTTCAAAAAATTATGCCAAGAACAGTTTTGTAATTAGAGCTTGTATGTAGATCACATCTATGCTAATATTATAAAGAGGTAAAGTTTGTGAGGTTGTAGGGGGTAATCTCTGGATCTACTGAACCGATTTAGATGAAATTTGGTAAGAAGATAGCTTGAGACCCTGGGGAGGACATAGGATAGTTTTTATCTCGGAAATCATCCCTTAAAGGGGTGAGAAAGGGGTTAAAGTACCAATAGATTTTCTCAAAGCATTAAGCATAAACTCGATCATCCTTGATATAATATTATTTATGTATAGGAGATGTTATATATAGTTTGAACTTTTATTCACTCCATGTTTGTGGAAACTTTATTGGTAGATGAGAAGATTAGTTGGTATTTACATAATCTATATCATAAAAGCTGTTTTTTCCCCAACCGATATATAATAAATAAATAAATGTTTATGTTTGTATATAAATCTTAGAAATAAAGCCAAATAAAGTAGAGGAAAAATATTTTCTACTGTTAAGTATAACAAGTATTGGTACAAAAAGTAGTCGTCGTCTAGTGGATAGCATATACGGCTGCAGATCTGGAGGTCCTGGCTTCGAGTCCCAGGTCGGGCCAAGTAAAGTTATTGAGTTTCTCTATTAAGGAATTCTTAGCAGCAGCTTGGAGTTAGGAGTTTGGCAGAATTGTCCGTGTCTTAGGTATACGTAAAGATAACATTCTTACGCCTGATCTCTCATCATTGGACTTAGTGAGTGAAAGAGTGAGTGAGAAGAACATTATAATAATAATTAGCAAGTACTAATTTTGAAAGGAGTGGTAGCCCAGTGGTAACGCGCTCGATTGGGTAACCGAATGAAGCGGATTCAAATCTCTGGTTTCGCACTTCTGATATTTTCATGTGCGAAATATTTCTAATATAATCTCTTCGTCGTCGATGACTCGTTCGACGTCTTACGATGAAGGAAAATATCGTGAGGAAATCTGCATGTCTGAGAAAATTTAACGAGTTTTCGAAAGACATGTGAAGTCCGCCAATCCGCACTTGGCCAGCGTGGTGGAATTTGTATTGTAGGGAGGATGTCAAAAAGTACTAAATATTACTAATTTTGACAATGTGACCGCTATTTTTTCCTACCAGATAAAATAATTTCGACAATTTTAATTTTTACGTACGTTTTAACAAACGCTGTAATAGCACTGCATAAAATTACGGACCGTTAGTTATTCTTCCTAAAACAACAAAAGTTAGCGAGAGCGTTATACCTCAGTTAAAACTTAGCGGAGTGGCTGTAAAATTATTTAGCAATTAAAATTTTATCTTGCAGTGTTTTTTAATTGAAGTAGCGATGAAAATGAGTATCTACAATTTTATTTTAAATTAGTATCTCTAGAATAACTATCTTTTCGTATTTTTTCGCGGATTTATTTTGATTTTTTGGTTCCCGACGTTCGAATGCTTTACAGCAATCATAGTCACGGGAGACAAAAAAAATTGTAATAATAATAACATTCAAAATTAAATAAATAAATTTTAAATAATTATTTTCAACAATTATAAAACTTAGTAATAGTATAGAAAATATTTTAAAATTAAAATTATCAAATATAGTAAGGGTGGGGAAATAATCCGAAAGGTAGTTTTATTTAAAACCAGCGACTTAAACTCGCTTCATTCGGGTTCGCCCCTAGGTATGTACGTTTTCACAGTTTGTGTGGAATAAATAAACTATCATTATATTCGTATTCAAGTAGTCTATATTCAAATTCAAATTTAAGGTTGTGTTCATAATTATAAAGTAATAGTATGGAAAAAGAAAAAATGTGATATTTTACGTTTTTCCGTGATTTTTTTCGATTTCTTCTTTTCATAAAAACCTTCTTCGGACTTCAAAAAATATTTGAAAAAAAAAAAACGATTTGGTCCAGCCCTTCTCATGTTTTGCGCTTAGCAACACATTAAGCTATTCATTTTTATTTAAAAGAGAAGATTTCAAATATTAGCGTAAATCTAAGAAAGTATTATTATCTGTAGATTTTAGTAGCGTAGGTACTAGTGGTAAGGTTGCATTTTTATATATGAGCGTTTTAACGGAAAACAAAATATTTGATTCACTTGTGATGATTTATGTATAAAGCATTTAGTTATGTGACTTTGGCCGATAGAAATGTATTAAAAAAAAATTAAGGACCCGGATATTCATGTGTTTTCCCGCGCTTTTGCACAGAGATATCGGTACCAACCTGTAGTGATTAGTCATGACTCATGAATTGTCTGTAATGCTGAAAATTATTGTTATAAATGATGTAACTCATTATTTAAAAGAGTAACTGTTGAGTTTCTCGCTGGCTCTTCTCAGCAGAACTGCTTTCCGAGCCGGTGGTAGCTTCCACACGGACAGACGTACTGACAATAATAAAAGTACTGAATATAAGCAAGAAATATCTTGAAGTTTTATTAGTGACCTCCTAGTATTTCCGGGGTAATATTTAAAACAGCAGGATCATCTCATAAAAATCTATGCTACTTATTCCAGACCATTTCATCGCCTTAATATTTAAATAAGCACCATTTGTTTAAGTTACCAATATTTATTGTTTAGAGTTACAGTAAAGAGGGTTTTTCCCTATTTTAAAAACGAAGCTTTAGTTCTAAAATTTATGTACATACATATGTAAATATATAGATAATGTACATCTCTCTCTCTCTCTCTACATATATATATATATATATATATATATATATATATATAAAACAAAGTCTGGTATGTTACAACACTTATATCTCGAGAACGGCTGGACCAATTTTCATGACCTTTGATTTGTTGGATTTGTCACCACCTCGAATAGCAGAATAACCAACCGCTTAGAAAAAAAAACTTTATATGGCTAACAGTGGCTAGTGACTATTTTTATCTATATAGAACGTACTTAGGATGAACTCGAGCGAAGCAATGGTGATCAGCTAGTATGTATGTATATACATACATATCTTTTAGGCTTTTTTAAAGTAAAGTGTGTATTTTATAATAGAATTGACATTTAAAAATCAATAATTACTCGACTGTGACACAAGGAGGGTTATGTTTTTACCCGACTGCGCCAGAAGGAGGGTTATGTGTTTCGAGTGTATGTATGTATATTTCTTTGGCACGCTCTATAGCCTAAACGACTTGATAGGTTTTAGCATCATAGGTGTTGTTAGATTCGTCTTAATTGTGAGAGTGACACTAGGTATAATAATATAAAAAAATATGGCTGATTTTTGGCGCCATATTGTCTTCCAAAATGTTTGTTCCTTCAAAACTTATCGAGTGGGGTATCAAAGTAAAGGGTTTTATATATTGTTTTCACAAATATATACAACTTGTATGTTTAAATGTAATTTGGCATGAGGAATTCAGTCTGCTTTTTTATTTTTGTATTTTTTATTTAAGATCTTTTCCGGTAAATTGGTCGTAAGGACAAATATGTATGTATGTTGTTAAAAATATATTTATTTTTGTGTAATAATAATAATAATAAGTTTTTATTAAGTATTATTATTTAATATTTTAATATTAAGTTTATACCATATTTTAATGATGTACTGTACCTACACCGCACTAAATTAACTTATTCTCTCACTCCTGAAGGATTTCTGGAAGAAATCTCTCAAAGAGATAAGTTATCCTTTGTCGATATTCTGTTACTTTATTTTGTTTAACATATATTTTATGGTACATAAATAAAAATAAATAAATTCAATTCATATATGTTTTTGTAAAAACATCATCAGTGGTCGAATTTCGACCACGCGACACTACAAATATTATATATCATATATCAATACAAATATCGTATGTAACCTCATTAGATATAGGACATAGGTCTAGGCTTTAGATGAGAATAGCGACTCATCCTCGCTCGGGTTCGTCCCTAGGTTGCTTCCCCATACAAACTTTCACCTCCATTTTCACCCCCCTTAGACGATGATTTTCAGGACAAAAACTATCCCATGTCCTTCCCAGGGATTTAAACTATCTTCTTACCAAATTTCATTTAAATTGGTTTAGTAGTTTCGGAGCTTATTCTGTACAAATAAACAAACAAAAAATCTTTCCTCTTTATTACATTAAGTATAGATAAGATACAGATGAGATTATAAATATAATAATAGATTATATGTCATCTTACGAACCATATCTTGCAGGTGACACCTGAAAGCTCTCTCCACTGTTATTAAACTGCCAGTAAAAGGCCAGGTCAGCGGGATCTGCGTCGACCGTGCATCGAACCCGCAACGGTTCGTCCAAACGCGCGCCAATCACTAGTGGCGTTGGTTGAGCACATATCGGCGCATCTGTTGAAAGAAAAACAGTAATTATAAAACACTTACTATAGAGTAGTCTATATAGTACATATGTATATGTGGGTCATAGATACATAGGTATAGAAAAGTAGGTAAGTACTTAAAAAAAAACTTGAAATCATCCCTTATATTTTCTTGATTGGTCATAAATGCTAAAATAATCTATATTTCTTACCAATATTGTTTATATATATTATAACGAATTTTTATATCTTTGAAAAATGATTTGTTCCCAATAGAAACTTTCAACCCCTATTTCACCCCTTTCAAGTTTTATTTTTGCTACAAAAAGTAGCCTATGTCCTACTTCAAGGTCCCATCCCTCTCTGTACTAAACTTCATCAAAATTGGTCCAGAGTTTTAGGCGTGAAAACGTAACAGACCGACAGAGTTACTTTCGCATTAACAATATTAAGTATAGATTTATAGCTAGCTGCTGTGTGTAGAAATCCCTCTAAAGCGGTCGTTGAAAATTTTATATAGGTATGTATTAGTCATTTTAAATAAAACTATCTTTTTACATTTTTTCGCGGATTTATTTAAAATGTCAAATATTCGTGTAAATCTAAGGAAGTATTAAATATTAGTCGTTAATTTGTAATTTTTAAGCAGAAAAAATAATAATAATAAATAAAATATTTTTGTGTATTTTTAGATAAACTATCACAATGTTAGCTTATTTAATTCTTTAAGTTTAGCTATTTTAATTTATTTACTTATCACACAGTATGAGTATCTATAATATATATTTGTATATTGTTTTAAAACAATTAAAAATAAAATTTTTAAAACAATATTTATGTTTGTTTGGCTTTATGTTCACAACATTAGTACAATGATGTCGCGAATAAAAGTTAGTAAACCCATAGAAATTTTAAGCCACATATAACAATATGAAAGCCAAGGCAGTGGCAGCCCAGTGGTAACGCACTCGCTAGGGAAACCTAATGAAGTGGGTTCAAATCACGGTTTTCGCACCTCTGATATAAATATGTGCGAATCATTACCACTTGTCTTAACGATGAAGGAAAACATCGTGAGTAAGCCTGCATGCCTGAGAGAACCTAGCCAGTTTTCAAAAGACATGTGAAGTCCGCCAACGCACTTTGCCAGCATGGCCTGATGATCCCCCTCGTACTGAAGGGGCCCTAGCAGTGGGACGTTAAAAAGGAGGCTGAATATATAACAATATAAAAGCCACATATAACTAGGGAATGTTAAAGTAGCTTTTATTGTAACTTTATATTTTGAAGTAATATCGCTCAACGCAATAGTTATTGTACGAAATATTTGAAAGGTATGAAACTTAATATTTTTTTTTGGTAAATTAGTTGGAAAATAGTGGCTTTATGTTATAAACATGTTTAGTTGAAACCTTAGCTTTGTTAGTATGCTGAATAAAAAAACTTATTTTTTTCCAAAATGATATAAGAATCTAGTTGAAAAATCAACAATTTTTTTTCATAAGTAAAATAAGTTTTCTAGGATTTTTTCGCGGATTTATTTTAATTTAGGGTATCCAGCGTTTCGAATGCTTTACAGCAATTATGGACACAAGAGATACTGACCCTATCGGTAACCAAAAATAGAACTAAATCCACGAAAAAACCGAAAAGATAGTTTTTTTTAAATGTCGAATATTCACGTCTTGATAAAAAAGGGGAAAATTATCCCTTCAATAAAAAAACATAAGTTTACCTAAACTTTTTGGAGGAACACTACTACCTTTCTTACATTTAAATGGCAAATATCTTTAGAACAGTAACTTTTTTGACCAAGGGTCGCGTGAAGGGTTTGAACCGTTATTAACCTTACAGGTTATATTATTCGTCGATTCCTACACGAATATGTATTGTACATTCCCCTGATTTCGGTCACGGTGGCCAATTTCACTGAGACTAATATCTTCGAAGGATGTTGTAGCATCACACTGTTGTTTTATATATACCTAATAAAATTTCCAAATCTATATTGAGCTTACTACTTAACAAGAGGTCACTCAGCCTACCTACCCGGGGTCACGCCGACCCCCAAAATTGAATGCCAATTTTCAATGACCGCTTTGGTAGTCTACCAACAAGGCTAATAAACATAACAAAGCTAATACTGTAGGACACGGTAAATTATTCAGCCCTTTTTATAGCCCCACTGCTGGCCACAGGCCTCCCTTCAATAAGAGGGGCCAGAATCACACAAATCGTCCACCACGCTGGTCAAGTGCTTGTTGGTAAACTTCACATGTTTTAGAGAACTTTCTAGATTATCTTTACTTGGTTTCCCAAGCAAGCGCGCTATCATTGGGATACCACTGTTTTTTTTACGATAAAGTAAATAAATGAAAATATAAGAAAATACTAAATGACTCGACACACGTTTTGTCGTTTCAATTTTATTTGAGATCTTTAAAAACAATTGGATGAATATTGACCAGAGCGCCATCTACCGGGTGCAACTATTATTAATAACCATCCAGATGATCCCACAACATAGTAAAAATATCATCAAAATCGGTAAAGCGGTTAAGGAGTTGAAAAATTACGAACGCACAAGCCAGAATTTTAATATCAATTTATGTATTATAAAGAGGACAGATTTATTGGTTAGTTTGTTTGTTTGTACCGAATAGGCTCCGAAACTACTAAACTGATTTAGATGAAATTTGGTAAGAAGATAGTTTGAGACCTAGGGAAGGACATAAGATAGTTTTCATCCCAGAAATCATCCCTTAGGGAAGTGAAAATGGGGATGAAATGTTGTATGAGAAACCAACCTAGGGACGAACCCGAGTGAAGCGAGGGTGAGTCGCTAGTAAAAAATAAAGGATAAAATAATGTATGATAGCTTGAAACCAAACCTCATTGTAAACAGTAATTTAAATACAATTACTATTTCATATTGTGGTTTATTTAACTTGAAACAGCTTTATTAGTATGATTCAACACATATCTACTGGTGCTCTGTACGTATATAACGTACAAAACGTTAAGGGGAGCGCGTGTAATGAAATAAGCGATATAATGCTATGTTTTGCAAAGAATATCTGTAATTTATATTATGTATATCTATATGAATAAAAATTAATGTATGTATGTTTCCTATATACTCAAACCTGTGGATGGATGGACTCTATGCACTGCAAAACGGTTGAAGCGATTTTGATGAAATTCTCATGCAATCTTTAGACTAGCCCGGTGGGTGATCCTATGAAGTTTGGTAGCGATCGGAAGTTTTAACACAAGCGAAGACGCGGGTACCTACTGCTAGTTATGTATATAAACATCCATTATTCTTTTTCAAGTGCCTCTCGATTACTGAAGATCGGCAGTCATCCTATTATTCTTTGTTTAGGGCTAGCCGGACAGATCTTCAACCCTGTTTACCCCGTCCATTGTCTGATGTTCCAGAGCCAGGACATCTTCCTTCTATCCCCCCCAACGTGCGTTCACCTTGTCGTGGGGGGGGGGTTCTCAGTAGTGCCCGGCAATACAGCCGGGCGCGAAGCTAAGAAACGCACAGGGAGGTGGCCCACTTCGGTGGGCGGTGGGAGGTGGCCCTCTTCGGAGGGCGGTGTACCATGCGGGTTGCTCCTGGTACTTCTCTGATAGCAGAGTGGACCTTGGAGCAATCCCGTGGTTGTTGTGGTCTGCTTCCGCAGACCTGCCGTCGGGGCATCGTAGTTGAATGCGTAAGCGATCCTGCGACGCCCCTTAAGACGGGGGAAGGCTTTGTTGGGTTTTAGTGGGTAGTACTGGCTTTGCCGGTGAGTCCCACACCTCGTGCGTAAATGCATTTCCCAACGTAAAAAAAAGGACATCTTCCTTCTACCAATAGGTACTTCTCTTAGGAGCACAAAAAAGTTTACAATCTAGAGCTAGTTGATAAAGTAGCAGGCAAAACCACAGCAAATTACTACTGGACATAAAGATTATGCATGCGTATTAATAACGTTACCGGCTTGCCCCGGCCTGGCAATTTTACAATGTAAATTTCCGCGTATCACACCCAGGGTGCCAATTAGGTTATGCATTCGATACCGCCTGCGATATTCTTGGTGCTATTTTAGGTAATCGATCAGCTTTTGCTACAAAATTAGCGTTTAGAATACGTGATTATTATAATTTTGATTGGAATTTGCGAGTTATCGTCTAATATTGACTGATTTTTATCATGTGATTGACAAATATAAACTTTGTTCAATTTACTATCTACTACTATCGCTGATAGAAAACCAAATTTATTAAATTTTTCGGAAATAACATAACCAAAAGTTGTCACGTGGTTAGAATTTGTTACTTCATTATTGTTTTACAATACAAAATTACATAATACAGTATATAAAATTGATTGTAAAAAGAAAACATGTCAAAGGAAATTATATTGTAACATAGTACCAAATACAGTGTACTGTCTGTAACAATCATATAATAACTTTGGAGACGTCTCTATCGAGACCATGATTGCTATAAAGCATTTAAAACATTGGGAACCATAAATCAAAATAAACACGCAAAAAAATCGGTATAGATAATTTTATTTATAACTAGCCGACTAGCGATAAGATTTTTTACCGCGCAGCCCTAATTCTTTTTTCCTTATAATATCAGATATCTGCCTGTCGAAAGCCCCATCAAAATAGGTCCAGCAGTTTCAGAGATTAGGCGGAGCAAACATAAAAAAGTGTATTTTTTTTATAAGTACCATTTATACTTTCATATTCATTTAGTAAATGCTGTTATTTTGACATTACAAACAGACTCGTCAATTTTATTTATTTGTATTGATTTTGAGATATTTATAACCTTAGTCTCTCTCGTGACTATGATTGCTGTAAAATATTCGAAACGTCGGGAACCAAAAATCATAAAAAATCCGCGAAAAAGTCCAGAAATAGTAATAATACTTACATTGTACCCGTAAATAAACAGCTTGACTGCTAGCTTCTCCCATTTGGTTGGCCGCCCTGCAAGCATACAGTCCCCCATCTCTCTTTGACACTCTTTGCAAAACCAGAGATTTAGTACTTATGAAGACTCCTGACGACATATTTTGAGTTACTTGCTGATCCTGTAAAAATACTATATGTGAACTATGTTTTGGCCTTATATTTTTGAACTAATATTGTCATATAAAAGCCTACATGTACACTTAGCTTTTTTTATTTTGACCACTCACGAAGGTTTAGAGTGTCCACTATTACTCTTCTATAATATGTATGTATATACGAGCCCTTCTTACTCCACTCTATATAACAGAGTGAAAATTAACCTATTTGTTTTTATAATGCAAAAATCATAGCGTTGGAGAATAATACAAGATACTTTTAATTTCCGTGGGATTTTCATATACTTAAAAAAATCTCTAATAACACAAGTAGGTAAAGCACGTCGTATCGCTAGTGTAAGAAAAATGAATTAAATAGTAATATTTTTCCACCATCGTACATGTACTTTTTATTAATAAGATTTTTACTGAATGTATATAGTATATTAACTTCGATGATCGATTACGAACATTAAAAAAATATAATTTTTTTGTTTATTTTTTTATTACTTATTGCTACGAGTATAGCGAAAATAAAGATACATACTTTGTGAAAATTTCAAATCTCTACCTAATACTGCTTATGAGATACACCCTTCTGGAAGACGGATGGACAAACACTGTAGGCGTAGTAATAGGGTCCCTTTGGCACTCTTCCGGTACGGAACCCTATAAACTATTTCAAAAACTTAAAACTGTTAAAGTTGTTTAATTTTTAACTCACTCACGTTATGGTACCACGTGATGCGATGCTCCTTAGGGTTGGCTCGAATATTGCATTCGAAGTAAACGTCGTCGCCTTCTTTAATATCATTAGGATTGAGTGTGCTTCCTAAAGACATTGTGAGGACTGGCCTGTCTGAAAAAGAGCTTTATTTACTACAAAATAAGGTTGATTTCGAGTTGATCTAAAATTAAAGTCTGAGAGACAATTGTAAGATTAGCTTTGTTTCAAAAGTTTCATGGGTATAGCTTGAGTAAAAATATATTTACACTTCATAGCTTCTTGGAAATTGTTGTACAGTTTATAGAAGCAGAAAATGTGCAATTAATAAGATTAATAAGTTTAGTATTAGAACCTATCCCATAATATTTCGGAATAATATTATAACAGCAAAAATCTGAATCTATGTGCATACATATGTTTATAACTTTTTTCAATTCTAAAATAGCTAGACGAATTTAGATGAATTTTAGTACATAGATAGATGACTTAGGCCTAGAGTAATACATAGGGTACTGTTAGGCACCTAGGGACGAGGCTAGGGTAATTTGCTAGTTTATATAAGCAACAATTATCATCATATCAATTAGTAAATATAAAATAATTAATTAATTAGTGATACATAATGGGAGAAAATAAGATATGCACTTGATAATATTTTTTTAATGTAAATATAAAATTAAAAATGTATATATTTAGACATCTTCTAGCATGTATTAATTTTATTATTTATTAATAAATCTTCCATAAGATTAAATTTAATATTCTTAAGAGCAATAAATAAGAAATATTTTTGGTATATTTGTAAAAAAATATGATGAAATATGTTAAGGATATCAAGAGGCTTTATATTTTCATTTATTGTTATTATTATTTAATAGAAAATTCTATTTCCAAGTTAATCATATCCAGACCAATAAAGTTATTATAGTGATATAATATATGCATATATGTATGTGCATTTGTCTCTTGGTCTATACGGAGGTGAGCAGTTCGCAAATTGCTCCCACTTGCAGTCAATTTAAAAGTTCTTTATTTTTTAATTTTATCATTTCTAATTTGATTCTTATTTTAAGGTATTTTGGTTGAAAATTGAATAGCACTAGTCTCGTCATAGAATAAAAAATATATTTGCTTAATGTTTTTAATTAAACATTCTTATTATGGTTCATTTTACTCATATCTAAGTCGATAAAAAATTCTATGTGATTATACAAAGTTTTATCTCTTCTTTTATAGCAAGGCACTTTGAAAGGTTGATAGAAAATACTATAATGGCAGTAACTTATATTGTATAATGTATAAATTAAAATAAAATATATTATTTATCATCAATAGAAAAGATAAGAAATAATTAAAGTTAAAAAGCTAAATTGTAGGTGAAATTTTTCGTCGAATATGTAAATATTAGAAACTTAGGGTATGCTTCTAGTCTGCTTCGCTCTTCGCTTGTGTGCTACCTAGGTGTCTTATAGTACGTTGCTTTAGTGCTTACTTATTCAGACTATCAATACTTGTTTTACTTTACAATAGAGATTTTATTCTCTCTGTTTAAAAAAAACTGAATTCCGAAGATTTATGTACACATATAGGTAGATAAAATATACTTTTAGGGTTTTTTAAAGTAAAATGTATGTTTTATACCAATAGAATTGACATTTAAAAGTAATAATTCTGTACTAAAAACTTTTTCTGTAAATTATTTTTTTGGACAAATAACTGAGACGACGAGTAGCCTGTTTTACTCCAAGTCATTCTCACGTCACATCTGTGAACTAAATTTCATCCAAATCCGTCCAGCCGTTTCACTGTGAAAGAGTAACAAACATACACACATATGTACATAAACTTTTGTATTTACTATAGTAAATGTTCGTTAGTAGTTCGATTTATTAAAAAGTAAACCAAAACAAATCTATCCCACGGGAACCGTATATTTTTCCGGGATAAAAAAGTAACCTATGTACTATTTCCAGACTACAATCTATCTCTGTGGTAAATTTCATCCAGATCCGTTCAGCTGTTCTGGCGTGAAAGAGTAACAAACATCCAAACATCTAATCTTTCACATTTATAATATTAATAAGATGGGTACATTAGTAACACACAATAAAACGTAGTCTCAAATTAAGCATCCTCTTTTTTTGAAATCGGCAAATAAATCAAGTTAGTATGGAAAAATAAGAATACATAAGCAAGCCATGCTTGGTTTTGAATCGTAATTTCTTTATCAATAGGTACGAGGGTACCTCGGGTCGGTACAAAATATTTAATGCTGCGTCCAATTTTTGTGACAAGGGTTGTTATTGCTTTATACGGATAAGTAGTTTTTTTATCCCTTTGATCATATATATTTTGGTTTTTCTAAATATAGAGTTTTATTTAAATATAGTGAACTAGCGGCTCACCTCGCTTCGCTTGGGTTCACCTCTATAAAAACAAAAACAAACCTATCCCACGGGAACGGGACATTTTTCCGCTATAAAAAGTAGCCTATGTGTTATTCCAGACTAATCTATCTTTGTGCCAAATGTCATTCAGATCCGTTCAGCCGTTCTGGCGTGATAGAGTAACAGACATACATACAAACTCACATTTATAACATTAATAAATACGGAAATACGGACTAGTATATTATATTGAACTAGTATATAAAGTAATAATTAATAAGTATATAAATATATTGTATATATAAAAAACAGTAAGAAATAATATAAAGAATCTGACTATATAAAAAAGTATAATTAGGAGAGTCTGTCTTGTTGTATATAAATGACACTATGATATTAGTTACGAGACATCAGTTTTATCACAAGCTGAACAAAGTAATTATCGATTATTTTAGTTTGGTGAAACAAGTGCCAGCGACACTAATTTTGTTTTACACGAAAAATGTTTGAATGAAAATTACTTCGATAAAGATTTTCTTTAATAGAAGTTTGTTTTGATGAAGATTTTTATTAAAATTTATTAATATTAGTATTAATATATTGGGACATTACCACACATCCCCATCTAGTTCCATGGTAAGCTACGAGGTTTGTGTTATGGATACCAGATAGTTGACCACTACACATATATAACTTATTATAAATATAAACACCCATGTCTGGAGTACATTTGTACATTCGTGCTCATCACGCAAATGAATGCCCCCAGCGGGACTCGAACCCGCGACCGCTGGCACAAGAAGTAGGGTCAATACAAACTGAACCAAACGTGTCATCAAAATACTTGTAGTCGTAATAGTTTCGTGAAACCAAACGTGTTATGGAATTAGACATTACTTAATAAAGGCTAATAAAACGATTACCGCCATAAAAGTAATCGAGTAAGTAAGTAGTAATCGATAGATATTATAATATATTATTTATTATTATATAATATATTATAAGTATTGCACTAGCTTAATATGTATTGCAGTTTTTTTGTATTTATGTTCAATTTTTGATGTCTAAATGTATTAAAATTTTAAAAAAGGCGATTTTTTTTATTACGATTCAACAGTGGTAATTATAATATTACAGTTAAAATGATACACAGTTCTTATTACTAAAAACATTACCTTTTAAGGTGAATACCGTATGCAAGAATATGTGTTAAATAATTATATATAAAAATAATAATTTATAACCTAAATAAATTAAACAAATAAACAAAATCTACCAAACAAGTCGAGATATACTTAACAAATCAAGAATTTTACATTAAAATCTAGTGGTTTTCTCGTGATGCGTTCCCAGACTGACAGATAGACAGACGAAAATTGTAAAAACTATAGATTCGGCCTCAAATAATAACTATTTCAATAAGATTTTCCAAAATTAATGTGCAGATTCAACTCAGAATTTTATTATATATATAGAAAACAGCACAATTATTTCATACTTACAAACCACAGTCATCCTGAACGAATCCTCCAAAGCTACTCTTAACACGGGGTTGTCTGATCTACATCTTATTACGACCCCATCGTCTTCCGGCTGTGGAGACATTGTCAATCTGCTAACTGTTGAAGTCTCGTTTGTGAACTCGCTATGCTGAAAACGAGATAGAATTAGAATTCTTGGCTAATATACATATATCAACTAGCGACTTAACCTCGTTTCACTTGAGTGCGTACGTGGATTTTGTTCACAATATCATGGCTTTTAATTGTTTTGCGCGGAACTCTTATTTTTTTATAAAATAAAATAAAAACTTTTTAACAAAAAAATAAAAGCCGACTTTGAAGTCGGTTTTTATTTTTTTGTTTGAACAAAAGCACTAAAAAGTACAGTAAAGTAGACGGTGTGCTTTGCTTTGTATGGGCTGGCACCGATTTCGAAAATATTTGATTAGGTATGTATAGTAAATGAAAACTACCAATCAGTTATTTTTTACTTTTTTGTGCTTTTGTTTGAAGTCGGTTTTTATTTTTTTGTTAAAAAGTTTTTATTTTTCCCTATTTAGTGTAGACAGTAGTAGCAAAGTAAGAATTCTAACGTATAAGGCTTGTCAAATCAAACAAAATAAGCCCAAACTCAAAGTATCTACTATTAGCCGTTGAAGAGTTCCACCTATCCACCTTCTGACCTTACGTCAGATCAGGTCGACGATACCGAAATACTGTACTATGAACGGAAATAGAAACACTTGCAAAGTTTCAAGTTAATATGACAATTAGGAGTAGGTTAAATTCATCATTAGCTGTTTTTAGACCCTTAGGGGTGGTATTTGTTTTTTGAAATTTAAATGGGACCAATCTGCAAGTATACCCTTTCAAACAAAACAAAAATTGTCCAAATTACGGTTTATAAATGACGCAGTTCTGAGCTAACAAACATAAATAAAATACAGCCGAATTGTATACAGCCGAATATGTATAACAGTCTTAATGAATATGTTTGATAAAGTCGAAAATGTGACACTGTATACTAAATGAGCGTCATCTTAACATTATACTGATATTATAAATGTGAAAGTTTGTGAAGATGGGTGGATGGACGTTTGTTACTCTTTCACGTCAGAACGGCAGAACCGATCTGGAATAGCCAATAGGCTACTTTTTATTCCGAAAAAATGTAAGTCCTCGTGGGACAATTTGTTTTTGTCTAGGGACGAACTCGAAGCAAAGCTCGAGTCGCTGGTCTTAAATATAAATGTTTCGATATTCGTGTGTTCATAATTATTTGTTTGAACGGTTTTTCCCCTTTTTCAGTATCTCTTTTATCAATATTTTTATTATTATCTTCTTTATCTAATAGAGTAATAACAAAATTATTAAACATATTCTATATCCATTTGATAGAAATAACCTATAAGCTTGGAAGTGATACAAAATTCTAATCTGGTACATCAAGTTACGGTGAAGGAAAACATCGTGAGGACCTGCATGTCAGAGTACTTAGTAAGTTCCAAAGACATATGAAGTTCGCCCCACACTTGACCAGTGTTTGGGACTATGGCCTGATCTCCCTCGTAAGTCGTATTAAAGGGAGGCCCGTTCCCAGCGGTAGGACATTAATAAATACCACGTCAAGTTCCCGAATTATAAAAAAAAATAGTAATAAAGTGAAAGCAATGGCACATCACTAGCATTAATTAAGTCAAAGGAAAACTTTAGGAAATTAAAACGTCAGTCCTCTACATAATTTTTGAAATACTAAAATAATAATCTAAAATCGATACGCTCTTAGCATAGGTCATTGAATGACCTAATTAGTTCACTTTGAGCACTTCCCGCTTCACTTTACAACGTGGTTAGTTCTTTGGAAACAAACTTCACTTCTTTAAGATGGCCGATTTTACAACGTCAGCGCATAGAAAATTTTAAATTATTATCCAATAGAATTTCATGTCTAACTAATCATTCTTAAGTAAGTTAAAAAGAAAATTGATAACTTTGGTTCGTTTCGTATTAAGTGTGTTTGTAGAGCAACGCCGATATTATAATTGACGTTTAGTACAGACTTCTCAGAGATGAGATATTTTCCGCAGTAAAAAGTATTCTCTACATTGACCCGGATCACCAGCTATCACCATACCAAATTTCATCAAAATCCCTCCAGTGAGTTTTCTGTGATGCGGTAACAGACAGACAAAAAATCTAAAAACTATAGATTCGGCCTCTGTATAGATAATAATGTCAGTTTCAATAAGATTTTCCAAAAAATAATTAATGTACAGATTTGGCTTAGTTACAATTTTATTATATGTATAGATTATTGATGCCATATTTGTATTTTTCAAATTATTTTGCAATTTTGTGGAAAGGCACTGTCTTTAACAACTTATATAAAGACATTTGAGACGTCTAAAACCTAAGTCTTTCCCGTGACCATGATTGCTGTAAAGCATTTGAAACGTCAAAAACCAAAAATCTGAATAAATCCGCGAAAAAATCCGAAAAGAAACTTAATAACTTTTAAGTTTCAATTTGAACGTAGTGAAGTCTAAACTGGGCTTTCCAAAAGGCGGTATTCCCGCTTTCATCTGTCGTTTTCATTCGAAACTTTGTAAGTTTATTCGAAGCTGAAGCTCGAGATGTACGCAATATCCTTTGCATCTCGTAAGCTGTGACTTCGAAAGCGCATGGTCTTTGTGACTATATATGAGGTGGTAGTCAGTTTGATTGCAATGTCTATTTTTTTATATACAATATATTTTAATATACTAAGTTTAAATTTCAATGTAAAGCAATATAAGGGGTTTTTAGGTTCAAACTAAAAAAGAGGACCTAACTTAGCTTTCTGATCTAGTATTTTCGAGTCAAATCTGTTATCAATTTAAATTAAAACATTAGTATATGTGTATCAAAACTTCATTGAAGTACGAAATATATATAAAAAAATATAGATTACTAGCAACTCACCCACGCTTTGCTCGTTTTAACGGTTATACGGTATAGAATAGATAGACTTATATATAACTTAGAGTTGCCCTTTGTCAGGTTCTCTCTCCGGAATGTCTCTCCGGATGTGAAAATCGTTAATTTTGCAATAAAGAAAGGAAATAATCAGGACAAAAACTATCCTATCCTTTAAGTTGGAACAAATCATACATTTAAAAAAAAATGTTAAGATCGGATAAGTAGTTTCGGAGTTAATCGCGGACCAACATCATGACACGGGAAATTAATATAATAAGATATTAGACTTTAAAACGAGGAGCTTTATCCTAATCTCAAGTTATAACAAGTCATAAAAGCAATCAAAATTGGTAATAAATCTAAGCTTTTACAGCGCTGCTATTATTATTTGACTTTCATTTTTGAGTTTCAAATATTTTGACGATGCAAGCGACATGGTCACGAGTCGTAAAATTTGGCAATAAAATTGTTCATAGTTCTGCAGGTGGTAGAGTGTTAAAACGTTTTTAAGTTGTGTCTATAAACGATTGTTCTCACACATGTATTATATACTATCGACTTACCTTGGCTTTTTTATCTAGTTTTTTTGTATATAGATAAGTAAAGGCAAAATTTCTTGTTTGTATGAATGTGTATATTTGTTCTCAGAGAGTAAGTCGCTAGTTATAATATGACATCCTTTTGATCTATTTTGGCCACTGTGGCCATTAAGGTCTAGCTAGCTGTGCAAGAGATTATAGTGCACAAGTATGCGCGCAGACACAAGTGCTACACAAAGATACAAGTAGCTTTACGTGCTCTCCGAGGTACGGGGGTGGACTTACACCTCCGACTTTCCAACTCTGAATTACCTGGGCTTTCTTAACAGAAAGACTTAATAAAAATAACTGACCCAATTCGGGTCTCGAGCCCAGGAGCTCCAAATGTGCAGCCGTATGCTAGCCATTATACCACCAGTTATAATATAATGTAAGAATAACTAAATATTTTAAAGGATAATGTATAACTTAAATTACCTTTCCTCTTGTATATCGTCTATTTTCTCTGTACCATGTGACTTGTGCTGCAGGTCTGCTTCCGTGTGTGACACATACTAACGTGAACTCTGTGTCAGCTGATAACTGGCCAGGTTTTTCAACTATTGACACTGATGTGGGTCGTACTGTAAAAAAAAATTAAGGATGGTATGCCATTCTTTCTAGAAGCTTCATTGAGGTAGTAATTTTTTTTTAATAATCTACTTAATGAAGTAATCTAATTTATTTAATCAAAGGCCAGTTATCAAAATGAAATTTAAAAACCGTGACGTTTAACAGTTACAACAATTTTATTTTAAAAAAACCAAATAGATTACTTTAACGTCAAATATTACTTAAAATAAAATTATAATTTGGGTACTTTCCCTTTTTACTGACGCTATTGTTATTTTGTATACATGCTCTTTTTTACTTTACATATATCAATACTAATAATTTTTATAATACTTTCTTAGATTTAAGCAAATATTTGACATTTTAAATAAAACTATCCTTTCGGATTTTTTTGCGGATTTATTTGGATTTTTGGTTCTCGACGTTTCGAATGCTTTACAGCAATCATGGTCATGGGAGAGACTGAGGTGTTAGATGTCTCGAAGGTATAGTTGTTACAGACAGCCTACCCACAAATAATAAAATGAAAATTGCACCAATTACCTTACCATATTTTTTAACTTTAAACATTGCTGTAAAGCATTCGAAACGTCGGGAATCTCAAATCCAAATAAATCCGCGAAAAAATCCGAAAAGATAGTTTTATCTAATAATTTTTATTAAAAAAAACGGATATTTTTATGTAATTCAGTGATAATAAAGCTTTCTTAGATTTATGCAAATATTTGACATTTTAAATAAAAATTAAAATCATTATATAATTAATACAAATGAAATAATATATAATAGCGTCCCTTACAATGCATTTCGACCCTTGCCGTTCGCTCGTGTGGACTCAACAAGGGTGTATTAGTTGCTTGGCACTTTACAGATGTGTTCAGCCAACTCCTCTCAGCTCCACTCACGCTTATTTTGCTGATGATGATCTTCCCATCGTTCTTGAGGATCGTGTGGTCTTCTAATGGCTTATTGTTGATCAGCCAAGACAGGGTTGGCTGTGGTCGACCTGATTGAAAACAAAAATATATAAATTATTTTTTGATGGAAAAATGCTGGTCAAAAGAGAAGTGACGAAACAAAAACAACTCAATTAATGTTGTTAATAAAATATTACAAAAATGGTCTTTTTAAAGCATCTGAGAATATTAGAAAAAGTTTATTATGTTATTTATATTTTTTTTATTGTCATTGATTGTCAATTGTACTTATTATTTCTTATTGTGCTTGCATTATTTTATGCATTATTTAATTATGGAAACTTGATTGGTCGTTGTTTTATATTTTATGCTTTGCTTTTTAATTGTATTACTGTAAAAGATAAATTTCACAGAAGAATTATGTTGTTTCACATGAAAACCCCTTTACAACCCTTATATACTAAATACTCCACGAATCAATGAAAAAAATTTAATTTTTAACTATAAACGTGTTGCGTAGATTTTAAGACAACCTTTTCAAAAGATTCTTTCTAATACGTAGACGAAAACACGGAAAAAATAGTCTACAAAATAATCGCTAAATTTTCATCGATTTTCATTGAATTTCCACTTTTAGAAGTTAAGTAAAGGTATAAGATGTATATGAAGAGAAAACCCAAAGACATATCACGTTAAGAGGGTCATATAAAGTGGAACATATTCAGTTAGAAAAAGTGAGATAACTTCCAAGTTGGCTTTTATAGATTCGTTGTGTCGCAAAGTTTTTGAATGTACGAAGTTTTATTGAATTATATGTTAATAATATATTTCTTATTATTATTTTATAAATTTACATATTATAACACTGGGTTTACTACACCGCTTTGGATACTCGCATACTCTTTGTATGGGATTACGTAGGCAGTACGTGGCTTTTATTTTTTTTATTTATTAATTTTTGCTTTGCACAGGATCGAACCCCCAGCTCTATAGAGCTCTAAAGAGCATGTCGATTCGAAAAAAAATCGTACTAATGCTAATAATGAGAGATCTACTGCCTGTACGTTTTAAAATATCGCAAACAAAAAACCTGATTTCCATGATAACCTCTTTATATTTACAGCACAAGAAAACTTGTTAGGTTCTCTCAGACATTTCCTGACCATCTTTTCCTTCACCGCAGGCGAGATTTAATCATGTTGAAATAAATCATGCATAAACATATCAGAGGTGCGAGGCCCGGGATATGAACTCCCTTCCGCCGGTTTCCCAAGCGAGCGAATTACCACTGGGCTACCACTACCTTATTCAAAATTCAAAATATTTTATTCAGCATTAAATTATTACAATTTTTTAGTGAACGTCATGAGTGTACTAGAAAGCGTATAATAGCCTATAATGCGTATAATAAGTATTTTTTTAAATATTGTTATGTTCTATCAGTTCTAGGATCGGACATTAAAAGTATTTCATCTGCACTATAGATGTTGATACATTAACCTAGTCGCTTATGGCGGTTGAAAAACATACGCAATAGATGCAAAGTTCTGGCTTAGTCGACACGATCGCTGAGAGATCAGGCACAAGACCGATGGCTTAATGTGCTCTCTGAGACACTGCCAAGTTTCTAACTCCGGGCTGTTACTGAGAATTAATAGAAAGATTCAATAACAAAACTTGGCCTGACCCGGGACTCGAACCTAGGACTTCCGCATCTGCAGCCTTACATGCTAGCCACTAGACTAGTAATACAGTTCAGTTTTAATTAATATGGATTATTATATTATTTGTTTTTGGCATTAAGATAAATGAGGATGCCACAGTACCTAATTATTATTGTTGTTGTTTTGTAATTAAATTAGCTAATTTGTCCCAAAACAATGTTGGATATTTTGCTTTATTCATTTAGTTAGTATTTTGCTTAAGCGACGCTTCTAAGCGAAAGAGCTTTGGTACTTCTCTGATAGCAGAGTGTACCGTAGGAAAAACCCTGTGGTTGTTGTGGTCTGCCTCGGCAAGAAACCGTCGGGGCGTCGTGGTTGAGTACCAAAGCGATCCTGCGACGGAGGAGGTTTTATTGGGTTTTGGTGGGTAATACTTGCTTTTCTAACCGGTGACCCCCACGTAACCACCTGTATATTTGCAGGTGATATGAGCAAATACATTTACCAACTATAAATAGTTAGACAAATAGTTGCGTCCGTAGTTTTTTTTTTATATTTATAATATTGCCGACATACACACTTTTGTATTTATTCTAATATATAAAGAGGAAGATTTGTTTTTTTGTTTGTTCGTTTGTATCGAATAGACTCCAACACTACTGAAGCGATTTAAATGAAATTTGGTAAGAAGATAGTATAAGACCCTGGAAGTTTTATTCCGGAAATCATCCCTTAAGAGGGTAAAAATGGGGGTGAAATTTTGTATCGGGCGGAACCTATGGACAAACCCGAGTAAAGCGAGGATGAGTTTATTGTATAATTTAAAAAAAACTTTTTTAATATTATCGACTTTTTTTTATATTTTCGAAGTCTGTGTGCTTTGCTTTGTATCGGCTGGCACCGACTTCGAAATTATTTGATTAGGTATGTATAGTAAATGAAAACTACCGATCAGTTATTTTTTACTTTTTAGTGCTTTTGTTTGAAGTCGGTTTTTATTTTTTTGTTAAAAAGTTTTATTTTTACGTTTTTAGTGTAGACAGTAGTAGCAAAGTAAGAATTCTAACGTGTTAAGCTTGTCAAATCAAACAAAATAAGCCCAAACACAAAGTATCTACTATAAGCCGTTGAAGAGTTCCACATATCCACCTTCTGGCCTTACCATCAGATCAGGTCAACAATACCGAACCACTGTACTATCAACGGAAATAGAAATACTTGCAAAATTTCAAGTTAATATGACAATTAAAAGTAGTATTTTATTGAAATTTAAATGGGACCAATCTGGAAGTATACCCTTTCAAACAAAACAGAAATTGTCCAAATCGGTTAATAAATTACCTAGTTTTGAAGTAACAAACATAAAAAAAACACAGCCGAATTGAGAACCTCCTCCTTTTTGAGGAAGTCGGTTGATAAATTTTACTCAATAAGGTTAGAAAATAAGCCGAAGAGTATGCATAAAGAGCATTATTTAAGAAGCAAAGAGCTCCATAACTCTTGTAGTTCCATCCTCTTTGCCTCACTCGTGAAAGTTGAATTTACGCTAGAGAAAATTTACAAAATACTATATTCATATTATAATACTAGCAGCTTTATCTAGCTTTGCTGAGGCACTAATAGCATATACACTAGCGTTTCCTCATGGTTCCGGCTGCGTCGCATTATTTTTAGAATTTCTCCGCTCTTATAGGTCGTAGTGTGGTGTAAGATAGCCTATAGCTTCCTCAATAAATAGGCTATAAAATGCAAAAGATCTTTGAAATTATACTTCTTTTGGCACGTTTGGAAAAAATTATGAGAGAAATTTGTACGATGCGCGGGCACACTGACAGCCAAAAATCGACATGATGAAGTCAGCTGAAAGCGACATGATAGATTTGGATGGATCCTTTTACAAACAGAAGATCCTCAAGAGAAGATGACAAGAGAAGATCAGAATCCTTTGCCAAAGAAGTATAACTCCTTACGAGCATACATAAGTACACACACACGTTTTTTTAAAATTGGACCAGTAAATTTGGAGATTAGATATATATTAGATAGATATTATTAGATTAATTAATTTATTTTTTTCATATTATAGTTTAGTTTCCATATACTACATATTATATATTCAGTCAGAAATTTATATACATATATATATATAATATTAGATATACAGTTCCTACTTGGATCATGATAATTGATAGGTGAGAACGCTATAATAATATAGGCTGGAGCGAAATATAATAATAAAGTTTTTTAACACGTCTGACCTAGCCTGCTTGTTTGGCTATTTTGAAGCCAAAAATTTAACCCACATTACTTTACAATTTTAAACTCAATGACAAATTGGACTCGGATATAAAAAGTTCACAATTAGCAAAGATAAATCTCACATACACCAATACATATGGGTATAGTTGATACTACCTCGTTTTTAAAAACATTCAAAACGTTAACAGGTGCAGTGTAATAGTCATGGGATGAAATAAATCAGAATTTCTATTAAAATAATTATTTTAAATCCTCAATTTCTGGATTATCGTTGTTTACGATACATTATAATGGTAATGGCTCTTTGCGGTATGAAGCTAAAAGTTAAACTAGGTGTTCGTAACTTTGTTTAATACTCGTATATAATATTATAACATATTGCCGATTAGATTTTATCGCCGCTACAGATATACGGAGGCGCGTTGAAGCAAAATATGTTAAATTAGATTCGATTTATGTGGTGAAGTTTTCATCATTTTCGTTAAAGCTAATTAAGATTCACAGTTTCATGAAACAACTAGCAGAACCCTCGACTTCGCTCGCGTTAAAACTGCAAAAAATAATCAATTTCTTTGGCTTTATATGATACTAGCGACTCAGCCTCGCTTCGCTCGGGTTCGTCCCTACTTATGTTTTAACGGTTAGTATAGATTTCTCAGAGATAATATATTTTTTGATTCTAAAAACTATTCAGCCTCTGTATCGATAATAATGTTTATTTCAATAAGATTTTCCAAAAAGTATTTAATGTACAGATTCGGCTTAGTTACAATTTTATTATATGTGTAGATTTTATAGTTAATGATTTTAATTTATTATCGTTTTATAATGTATATGATGAGGATTATGTAATGCCTAAAAAAGATAGTTTTAATAAAATGAAAAATCTTCTAGGTATACATTTTAGATACTAATATTATAAAGTTTGTGACTTTGTGAGGTTTTTAGGAGGTAATCTCTAGATTTACTGAACCAATTTAGATAAAATTTGGTAAGAAGATAGTTTGATACCCTGGAAAAAACATGGGATAGTTTTTATCCCGGAAATCACCTCTTAAGGGGATGAAAATGGAGATGAAAGTTTGTATGGGGACTCAAGCTAGGGACGAACCCGAGCGAAGCGAGGATGAGTCACTAGTAGTAAAATAAAGTAGTATAAAGTAAAG